TGATATCCAGTGACTAGTCATAGCGGTGTCTGGGAAGTGTAGCCCATGAAGGATGCTGGTAAGCCTGACGGCACAACAGGACGTATAATCAGTCAGCTGGCTTGTAAGATAAGAGAGTAGTTTCACTTTCACTTCGTCTTTTTTGTTAAAATGGAACCTAAGTCACAGCTCAGGGAGTGACACAGACCGCATGTCTCCACGGCAGGTCATACAAACCAGGGGAACTTAGGTGTGGGCATTTTAACTGCGTGTGTTCATCTGAAATGTTCCCACCTTCCTCTTTCTACAGGCCTTCCTCTTCTTGACATTTTTCCTGAGCTCTAACTCGGTGCTTTTTTTTTTCTCTTAGTCGTGAAACAGCTGTCTAAATCAGGGATCGCCCTCGTCATCAGTTTGACATTGTTTATCATCTTCATCGTTGTTGCTATTGCACTGAAGAGACAGAGGTGAGATATTAAACGTTATGTAGGAAGTCGTATCTGCCGTGTGTGCAATGTTCTGCCCGCTGTATAATAAACATGAACTTTCTTTGTTGCGCAGGTTAAAGAGAAACAAAAGGAATGGAAATGTTCTTTCAGTAACATGTCATAATCCTGTCCTGTCACCGGGGCCTTGAAAGCACCTTCAAAGTATGTATTTATTACATGGAACCTGTTAGCAGACAACTAAGCTATTAGACTTCTATATGATATTTATTTTCCAATGGAGTGCTGCAATACTCTGTAGCACTTGACTCTCTCTCTCTCTCTCTCTCTCCCTGATTTCTGACTCTATCCACTTTAAGTTTGAGTTTTGAGCAGTTGACTTTAGCCTTGTCCAGGGTTCAAGTGACTGCAGCAGTGTGCAATAGTTAAACTTGGCTTCAAGCTGCTTATGCGGACAGTTAAAAAGATGTGTTGTGGATCTAAAACAAGAAACATCCTGTCAATGTCACACAGTGAGGCTATACTGCCATCTAGTGTGCTTTATGGGGAACAACAGCGACCAAGAAATGAGGAAAATGAGCCGAATACTGCTCCTCAACCATAAACATTTCAGTCTCTTTTTGTGTTTTTGCACTGGAAATAGGCACTTTTAAATGCATTTATTGATTTATAAGTGTGTAATGTGATTTACATTAATTTAATTCATTAGATTGTATATTAATGTTTAAATGTATGACTTGTTTATGATCAACAGTTTAGCACTTTTCTAGCACTGCAGCACTTCTTTGTTCAATGTGTGTGTTCTCATGTTATTTATAGTTCAAACCTCAAATGCACATTTGCTGTCTGTCTATAATTGCTGCATTGTGCTACTTAAGGTAACTTGAATAATATAATAATAATAATTATAATATATCGCATTCGTTTGCAAACTAATCATGGCTGTGCAATTATAGAATTACAGTGTTTTAATCTCTGAGCTGACTAGAGGTCTAGTAATGTATTGTTTACTAGGCCTATATTATATTTATTTACGTGTCTCCTTCATTAAATCATACTGATTTCACCTGTGTCTTTCAGCCTTGAGTTCAGTTTTTGACTTTCATTGTGCACAAAAAATAAATGGAATTGAAATCTATTTTCTTTTTTTCCACATACCATCAACATCATTGGAATAAGTGACAACTACGTGCTGAATGCAACAATTTGAAGGATATTTAGATTCCAGATGAGATCCTCTGATTGTTCTTTTTTACTTGTGTTGGTTTGGTTTTGTTCTTAAAGTGAAATGTGTTTTACATGTTCATAAATGAACAGCCAGACTTTAGGTTTTCAAATAAAGGCGGAAAACTCTACTTCCTTATTGTTATGGATGTACCATTGAGTTGGCACGGAGGGGGGGAGGGGGGGGGGCGACAAGCGACACGTGTTGTATAAAATTCATTTTAAACTGCTAGCTGGTCATAATTTAACAAAATAAAGTTATTTAGTTATGAATCTGTTTTAATTACATTAGGCTACTGTACGCATTGGTTGCTTCATGTTTGATGATAATCTGTACATATGCCACCCCCGGTCTGTGTGCCACTCATGGCAACCAACGTACCTGGACGATGACGTCACCCAGGTACAGCGACGCTTTTACCAGTTTAAATTTTGGCGGCATGTGTGAGGCATTATGGGTGAAAGATGGCAAACAGCGCACTCTTACGTTTCCTCTTCGTGTCTGCAGTATTTCACAAAGGTAAGAAAAACGTGTTCGGTAATATTTGTGTCACATTTTGCACATGTCCAAGTTATTTAGACTCACCTTACTCACAAAGAACAGTTACAGTTGTTACTGTGTACTCATGTTTACGGCTTTGGTGTATAAATATTTTGGAAGAATGCAAAAGTTGAACAAGTTGATAGTTAAATTTAAGTTTTTAATCAAATCATGCATTGGAAAAAGAAAAGATAAGTGGTGAAATTAGAAAGTTGGAGAAGTGAAACAATTCTATGCTATATTTCCGAACTGAATACACAAACTTTACTAAAAAGAAAAAATGGGTCCCTGAGGACATTTTGTGTATAAAGTTATGAACATATACCACAGAATCTGTACATTTCTACCAAAACTACATAGTGCACCTTTAACGAAGTCATAGGAAGGGGTGGTGTTTAATAAATGAAGGGGTGGTGTGCCAACAGAAATAGAAACACCTCCCTATAATAATACACAGTCCAGTACATGTTAACCTGTTTTAACCCTCGTGTTGTCCTCCCGATTGCAATACACCACCTGTCCTCTGGGGTCAAAATGACCCCGCCCGGTTTGACTGTAATTTAAGTCATATGACATAAATTAATTCAATCAATTCTGTGTTACACCTTTAGTCTGACTTCAGGTCAACCCATTACCATGAATTTTCCATTTTTTTTTTTTCTTTTTAATTTAGGGCCAATAGACCTTGTTTAGATAAAAGTATACCCTGTTTTTGAGTGGAACAAAAAATATTTAGAATTTATATCATTTTGAGTCTTTGACTTATCACAGAGTGGTATATGTCTATGTCTAAGTATAAGTTTAGTGAAGATGCTGTGTTTGAATCATTTGAATTTTTTGAATGGCAGCAAATAATAACACCTGCTGCCCTTTGGGGTCAAATTGACCCTGTCTGGTTTGACTGTAATTTAAAGAATATAAAGTGGATTTTTAAACCCAATTCTGTGTTACACCTTTCGTAACAACTTCATTCAAACACATTAGCACCATTTTTTTATTCCATTTGAGATTTAAGGCCGATAAGACCTCATTTACATGCCTGCATGCGAGGCAGGTAGTAATGTCATGATCTGTATATGCACTGCACTTTTGGCACATTTCCAATGTTTTGAGATCACTCTGGCGAGGGCAGAATTTGCTCCTGTTTTTTGGTGATGGGCCAGGAGGGGCTGCTGGGTGTTAGGGAGCTGCTGCAGAGGCCTGAACAACCCCCATTATTTTCAGACCATTTGATGAATAAAAAACATATTTGACAGCAAAAGATTGAATTTGGGGTCAGATTGACCCCAGGACAACAGGAGCAACACATTCAATGGGCCCAATAATAAAGAAACATACACTTGTCCTCTCCTTCAGGTCTAAACTCTGTGATACAAGCACAGAGGAATGTGGCTGCAGCTGTGGGAGAGCAGGCCTGCTTAAACTGTCTGCTGATTCAAACCAAAGAAGTTCTTCAAGTCACCTGGCAGAAGATTCTACCTGAAGGAGAGAGGACCGTCGCCACTGACAACCTGCACTTCGGTCAAAGAGTGGACCCTTACTTTAGTGGTAAGGTGGAGTTTCGAGATGCTGGACTGCAGAACACCTCCATCCTGATCAGGGAGGTGACGGAGCAGGATGAAGGCTACTATCGCTGCATGTTTAACACCTACCCTGATGGAGCTCTCACTGCTACGATCTGCCTGAACGTCCATGGTAAAATATGCAACTTTGTCCATAATTATTGTAGTTGAAATGTTGCCAGGTTGTATGTGGATATCAAAACTGGTATATCATGTTGTTCTTTGGCCAAAGTTGCATATTTTACCATGGACGTTCAGGCAGATCGTAGCAGTGAGAGCTCCATCAGGGTAGGTGTTAAACATGCAGCGATAGTAGCCTTCATCCTGCTCCGTCACCTCCCTGATCAGGATGGAGGTGTTCTGCAGTCCAGCATCTCGAAACTCCACCTTACCACTAAAGTAAGGGTCCACTCTTTGACCGAAGTGCAGGTTGTCAGTGGCGACGGTCCTCTCTCCTTCAGGTAGAATCTTCTGCCAGGTGACTTGAAGAACTTCTTTGGTTTGAATCAGCAGACAGTTTAAGCAGGCCTGCTCTCCCACAGCTGCAGCCACATTCCTCTGTGCTTGTATCACAGAGTTTAGACCTGAAGGAGAGGACAAGTGTATGTTTCTTTATTATTGGGCCCATTGAATGTGTTGCTCCTGTTGTCCTGGGTCAATCTGACCCCAAATTCAATCTTTTGCTGTCAAATATGTTTTTTATTCATCAAATGGTCTGAAAATAATGGGGTTGTTCAGGCCTCTGCAGCAGCTCCCTAACACCCAGCAGCCCCTCCTGGCCCATCACCCAAAAAACAGGAGCAAATTCTGCCCTCGCCAGAGTGATCTCAAAACATTGGAAATGTGCCAAAAGTGCAGTGCATATACAGATCATGACATTACTACCTGCCTCGCATGCAGGCATGTAAATGAGGTCTTATCGGCCTTAAATCTCAAATGGAATAAAAAAATGGTGCTAATGTGTTTGAATGAAGTTGTTACGAAAGGTGTAACACAGAATTGGGTTTAAAAATCCACTTTATATTCTTTAAATTACAGTCAAACCAGACAGGGTCAATTTGACCCCAAAGGGCAGCAGGTGTTATTATTTGCTGCCATTCAAAAAATTCAAATGATTCAAACACAGCATCTTCACTAAACTTATACTTAGACATAGACATATACCACTCTGTGATAAGTCAAAGACTCAAAATGATATAAATTCTAAATATTTTTTGTTCCACTCAAAAACAGGGTATACTTTTATCTAAACAAGGTCTATTGGCCCTAAATTAAAAAGAAAAAAAAAAAATGGAAAATTCATGGTAATGGGTTGACCTGAAGTCAGACTAAAGGTGTAACACAGAATTGATTGAATTAATTTATGTCATATGACTTAAATTACAGTCAAACCGGGCGGGGTCATTTTGACCCCAGAGGACAGGTGGTGTATTGCAATCGGGAGGACAACACGAGGGTTAAAACAGGTTAACATGTACTGGACTGTGTATTATTATAGGGAGGTGTTTCTATTTCTGTTGGCACACCACCCCTTCATTTATTAAACACCACCCCTTCCTATGACTTCGTTAAAGGTGCACTATGTAGTTTTGGTAGAAATGTACAGATTCTGTGGTATATGTTCATAACTTTATACACAAAATGTCCTCAGGGACCCATTTTTTCTTTTTAGTAAAGTTTGTGTATTCAGTTCGAAAATATAGCATAGAATTGTTTCACTTCTCCAACTTTCTAATTTCACCACTTATCTTTTCTTTTTTCAATGCATGATTTGATTAAAAACTTAAATTTAACTATCAACTTGTTCAACTTTTGCATTCTTCCAAAAAATGTTTATACACCAAAGCCGTAAACATGAGTACACAGTAACAACTGTAACTGTTCTTTGTGAGTAAGGTGAGTCTAAATAACTTGGACATGTGCAAAATGTGACACAAATATTACCGAACACGTTTTTCTTACCTTTGTGAAATACTGCAGACACGAAGAGGAAACGTAAGAGTGCGCTGTTTGCCATCTTTCACCCATAATGCCTCACACATGCCGCCAAAATTTAAACTGGTAAAAGCGTCGCTGTACCTGGGTGACGTCATCGTCCAGGTACGTTGGTTGCCATGAGTGGCACACAGACCGGGGGTGGCATATGTACAGATTATCATCAAACATGAAGCAACCAATGCGTACAGTAGCCTCATGTAATTAAAACAGATTTATAACTAAATAACTTTATTTTGTTAAATTATGACCAGCTAGCAGTTTAAAATGAAGTTTATACAACACGTGTCGCTTGTCGCCCCCCCCTCCCCCTCCGTGCCAACTCAATGGTACATCCATAACAATAAGGAAGTAGAGTTTTCCGCCTTTATTTGAAAACCTAAAGTCTGGCTGTTCATTTATGAACATGTAAAACACATTTCACTTTAAGAACAAAACCAAACCAACACAAGTAGAAAAGAACAATCAGAGGATCTCATCTGGAATCTAAATATCCTTCAAATTGTTGCATTCAGCACGTAGTTATCACTTATTCCAATGATGTTGATGGTATGTGGAAAAAAAGAAAATAGATTTCAATTCCATTTATTTTTTGTACACGATGAAAGTCAAAAACTGAACTCAAGGCTGAAAGACACAGGTGAAATCAGTATGATTTAATGAAGGAGACACGTAAATAAATATAATATAGGCCTAGTAAACAATACATTACTAGACCCTCTAGTCAGCTCAGAGATTAAAACACTGTAATTCTATAATTGCACAGCCATGATTAGTTTGCAAACGAATGCGATATATTATAATTATTATAATTATATTATTCAAGTTACCTTAAGTAGCACAATGCAGCAATTATAGACAGACAGCAAATGTGCATTTGAGGTTTGAACTATAAATAACATGAGAACACACACATTGAACAAAGAAGTGCTGCAGTGCTAGAAAAGTGCTAAACTGTTGATCATAAACAAGTCATACATTTAAACATCAATATACAATCTAATGAATTAAATTATAATGTAAATCACATTACACACTTATAAATCAATAAATGGATTTAAAAGTGCCTATTTCCAGTGCAAAAACACAAAAAGAGACTGAAATGTTTATGGTTGAGGAGCAGTATTCGGCTCATTTTCCTCATTTCTTGGTCGCTGTTGTTCCCTATAAAGCACACTAGATGGCAGTATAGCCTCACTGTGTGACATTGACAGGATGTTTCTTGTTTTAGATCCACAACACATCTTTTTAACTGTCCGCATAAGCAGCTTGAAGCCAAGTTTAACTATTGCACACTGCTGCAGTCACTTGAACCCTGGACAAGGCTAAAGTCAACTGCTCAAAACTCAAACTTAAAGTGGATAGAGTCAGAAATCAGGGAGAGAGAGAGAGAGAGAGAGAGTCAAGTGCTACAGAGTATTGCAGCACTCCATTGGAAAATAAATATCATATAGAAGTCTAATAGCTTAGTTGTCTGCTAACAGGTTCCATGTAATAAATACATACTTTGAAGGTGCTTTCAAGGCCCCGGTGACAGGACAGGATTATGACATGTTACTGAAAGAACATTTCCATTCCTTTTGTTTCTCTTTAACCTGCGCAACAAAGAAAGTTCATGTTTATTATACAGCGGGCAGAACATTGCACACACGGCAGATACGACTTCCTACATAACGTTTAATATCTCACCTCTGTCTCTTCAGTGCAATAGCAACAACGATGAAGATGATAAACAATGTCAAACTGATGACGAGGGCGATCCCTGATTTAGACAGCTGTTTCACGACTAAGAGAAAAAAAAAAGCACCGAGTTAGAGCTCAGGAAAAATGTCAAGAAGAGGAAGGCCTGTAGAAAGAGGAAGGTGGGAACATTTCAGATGAACACACGCAGTTAAAATGCCCACACCTAAGTTCCCTGGTTTGTATGACCTGCCGTGGAGACATGCGGTCTGTGTCACTCCCTGAGCTGTGACTTAGGTTCCATTTTAACAAAAAAGACGAAGTGAAAGTGAAACTACTCTCTTATCTTACAAGCCAGCTGACTGATTATACGTCCTGTTGTGCCGTCAGGCTTACCAGCATCCTTCATGGGCTACACTTCCCAGACACCGCTATGACTAGTCACTGGATATCAGGGACTTTCCTGTACTGTGACGTTCAAGTGTTATTGATGCAGGATGTCACTTCAATGACGTTTTATTTCTGTGGAGTTTGGTCGACTAGAAAGTGGAACCCAATTTCTTATGTAAAAAATTCTCTCATAATGATAATTTAACATCACATTCTATTAATGAGGTCATATTATAGCCCTTTTCCAAACAGTCTCCTGTGGTCTAAATGAAACATCTGTGCTCTGTATAAATATGGTCAGAATCTATGATGATTGCAGTTCCTGGCTCAACTACATTAGCCGTTCCCATTATGAACTTTGACTTGACTTGAAGAGGGTGTGGTTATGATCGGTTTTGCAGCCTTTCCGGTCCGTGAGGATAATTATTTAATTTACTTTATTCATCAAACAAACCCCCCCCTGCTCCACCCAAATGACGCCTTTGTGGAGTGCCTACCTTTCTCCCCATCGTTCTCGTCACCACCAAACGAAAAGGGAAACTCTTCACTCGATGTCCCATCACACCTTCGTTCAGCACACAGTCCACATTGCCGTTCCAGTCAGAAGGGACCTGCAGAGTGATGTTGCTGCTGCTCGTAAACGTCCGGTCCCGTTTGCGGTGACAGCAGTCTCTGGTTTGTCTAAACGTGTTGCGTCAGAAGGGAAGGTCCACTGAATGGTGGGAGCTGGTTTACCTGTTCCCGAGCAGCCAACCACAATTTCCACTTCCTCTTCAAACTCCTTTTGTTCCCTGCTGGGAGAAAGATCTTTTGTTTCCTCCTCTGAAATTCCTTTGAAGAGAGGGGAAACTTGTCATTTTGAAGGCTGAGTCAAATGTTTGAGCTATTTTAAGAGGTTGACAGAAGGTGCAAAAGTCAAAAGCTTTGGCTAAAAAAAAACTTTAGCTACAATTTCAGAATTCTAATAGCTACCATTTACCTTCCACTGTAGGACATATCTGCTTCCTTTGAGACCCCTCAGGATAAACGTTGAAGGAGCAAATATAACAGGCTTCATCTTCCCACGTTACGTTCTTCACAGTGATGGACGTTGAGCTCAGAGACGCCTCTGTGAAGACTATTTTCCCAACGTAAGGTTGATTTACTTGCTCTCCAAAGCGTTTGCTGAAAGTGGCCAAATTCTCAATGGAGTCATCTCTGAAAAGTCTCTGCCACGTGACCTGCAGCACACCTGTTGGGAAAAAGGTCATCTTCCAGTCAGTACAGTGAATGACATGAAATGTTATGTATAACAGTCATCCTATGGAAGCCCATGTCTGCCAGAGAATGAGACAAAAAGTCATCGGGGTTAATCCAAAGTCTGTGCGCTACATGGACGTAGTCTCAGTGACGTCACCCATTGGTTTCTGAAGAGGCGTTATGAAGCCAAGCAATGGCCGGCAACATATTGGAAATGCTGACTTCAATTAACTTCCGGCTACATTATTAAGCTAAAGTGAAGCTTTAGTGCATCCACCTGTCAGTCAAATCAGCCACTTCCCTAATTATGCATAACTCGGACCGACATTTTTTTGACATGTACAGAAAAGGTTTCCACTTTGGTTTGTCTCATCTTAATGAGATTTTATCCAAGCAGAGTTTTCATCACACTTTTTATTTTGTTGGCAGTAATGGACTTCCCTACCATCCATACCTTTAATATACATTTTTAAGGACAAAGTTTTTCTCTTACCTGCTGGGTTCTCTATTTTACAGCTGTAGTATGCATCCTTCCCATAGTCAGCTGTTTTGTTTCCATGACTGGTGATCTGTGACATTGAGGCTTAAAATAAAGAAACAGAGTGAATGAGTGCAGGTTTAGAGTAACACAGGTGTTTTTAATTACCCTGGCTGATTAGACCAAACAGGGTGAGCTACTGTGACAGTTTCTTATGTAATAAATTTAAGTCCTCCTTCCCAAACAGCTTATCCAAAATAAATGTAATGGAGCCGTCAGTCAAACAAACATATTGTTGATCTAATTATAGTCTCAATCACTAACACCTGTGTGTGTGTATATAGAGACTTCAACACCTTTAGTTACTTTTGCTTACAAAGCAAACAAGGCAGTAAATAAAGAGCCAAAGTACATAGCACATATTGAGGTCTAAGAACTTTACTCCAGTCAAATCTTTAAGGTTCAAGTTTAAAAAGCCAAAAAATGTCAGGCTGGTCTCTTTTATGTAATAATCACAGCAGAGGAGGTCATCCCTTTATTTAAATGTCCCTTACCTTCAAACAGCAACCCGGTAAGTATCAGGAGGAGCAGCATTTTGTCTCTGCAGCTGAAGAGATGACACACTTTCAGTTTTGCTTCTTGGAAACCTTTAAATAACAGCTGTGTGTAAGGGGAGGAGACTGATCTAAAGAGTTTATTCTTTACTTTTTCTTTTTCACGAGGCTGACCACAGCATGAATACATGTGAGTGATTGATACGATGCATGATTAACTCAATGACAGAAATCAATAGACAGACTCCTTACATAAGGGGGCGTGGCTTAATGTTATTACATGAAATGAGCATGGACAATACCTGCCTATATGAAGTTATTATGAACATTCATGACATAGGATTCACATCTTATTCTTATAATGGGTATGACTCTAGGACTTGATGCAATTGCTTTAAATGGAATAGTCTTCAACAAAGGGCAAAAACACAAAAAAGCCAGTCAGCCATTACATTTTCTAAAGCCTCATTGTCTCCCCCTGTTTTTCTCCGAATGCTAATATGACTATTTCCTAAACTACTTCTTTAAAGTCATTTACATATTTTTACTGTAATTACAAATACAGTATTCTCAGTATCTCAAAAAAGGCCCCAGAAGCAGAAGTTCTTCTCCCTGGGTGCTTCTTGGTCTTTACATTTCCCAGCAGTAGACGATCTTATAATAAAAACAGTAAGTGTGATTAAAAAGACATTACATAGGTGGTTTTTTTGTGTGTGTGTGCAAGCTTGTGATATTGCGCCTTGTCAGTGGAAAGTACACTGCACTGTGTGATTTCTCACACTTTTCAAACGTTTCATAAGTGTGACTGATTTTACTCATGTCATGTACAGGATGTAGTTATCATGTTCTAACTGATCGCATAAAGCAATAAGGAATGTAACGTTATAATGAAACTCTCAGAATGAAACCAAGATGTCACTTTTTATGCAGAAGCATGATGCAATAACTGACTGTTCAGCTCCCAATGAGCTTTTATTTTATTTTATTTATTTTTGTGCTTTTTATGCCTTTATTTTAGAGATAGGACAGTGGATAGAGTCAGACATACTGTAGGGAAGAGAGTGGAGAATGACATGCGGGAAAGGAGCCACAGGTCGGATTTGAACCGGGGCCGCCCACCTGCACTCTAACCACTACGCTACCGGACGACCCCGACTTTATTTTAAATGGGGCAACTTTTTCCATCCAAAACATCTTCCTCAGGCAAACGTGGGGGAGTATTTTCCAAAGTGAGGCACTTGACCAAACATAATAATCGTAACTACAATCTGATGCAGTGACTGTAAACATCCTTGTGCCTTTCCTGCATTTCTCTTTCTCTTTCAACAGAAAACAACAGGAATGAGTCATCTGCTAACAGAGGCCAATCACAGTTGGATTTGAGTTCTCAGCATTGATTGATTGATTGATGAAATTTATTTCAGACATATCAAATAAAAGCAAACATATAAAAAATACAAAACAAAATGAAAAGCACGAAAATACAATAAACAAAAAACAATGTTCAAATTATTTCACAAAAAAAGAAAAAAAAATTACATATATTCAATTGATATGCCTGAACGTACGAAGAAGTATAAAACTTATTTAATCCTACCCCTTTTCCACAGCTCAATAATTAATATTTATTAAATTAAATTAACTTCCTGTGTTCCTTATAATCTCTCTATATATACAATCTATCTATATACAATTTGCTACACAATATTTATGATACCATATTTGATATTTACAATCCAATGATTTTCCATACATATATACAACTTGATATACTATGATTTTTTATAATTTATATATTTATACACTCCATATATCTATATCTATACATATCTATCTGTACAATTTGATGTACTATATTTACATTTTATATATTAATACAATCTTTATATCTATACAGTTTGGTACAGTATGTTCACTATTATACATTTGATACAATCTATATATATATATATATATATATATACAATTTGATATAGGCTACTATATGTACAATTTACATATATATAATACACATTGACATACACCTGTGTATACAAAACTTGTAAACCCAATTATTATTATTGTTATTATATTTATTTTATTATTATTATTATTGATTTTTTTTCCTTCGTAAAGCTCTCCCTCATCCCTGTAACTTTTGAAAATCATTGCTTTGTACATGTTTTTAAACTGGATCATGTTTGGACAATGCTTTAGCTCCGTGCTCATACCATTCCACAGTTTCACACCACAAAGTCGTGCGAACAGCTAGCAGCTTAAAATTGAACTTTTCCCTCAAATTATAACCCGCCTGTCTGTCAAAAAAAGTTTTTGAAGGTGTTACAGTTTGTTTCTTGCTTTGAACATGATTTGTGCCACTTGATAGTCAACAGGAATGTAAAAACAGGAGGTTGGTGTGATCATAATATCCTGCTTTATTGATTGTTCTTATGGCTCGTTTTTGAAGTGTGACTAGTGGTAGCAGTGAGCTTTTGTAAGTGGTCCCCCAGACCTCCACACAGTAACTTAAATAAGGTAAGATCATTGAACAGTAGAGAATATGCAATGATTTGTGATCCAATACATGCTTTGCTTTACACAGGACTGAGATGCTACGTGACAGTTTAGATTTAACATGTTTTATGTGAGGTTTCCAGCAGAGCTTGTGGTCTATTGTCACACCTAGGAATTTATTTACATACATCTTTCAATATCAACACCATCTATCTTAACATGTACGTCATTATTTAAATTACAATTTCCAAACAACATGATTTTTGTTTTGCTTAAATTCAATAATAATTTATTATTGTCAAACCACCTTTTTAATTTGCTCATTTCAGATGTAATTAGAAGCTGCTGCAAATCCTCTCCCGTACAAAACATATTTGTGTCATCTGCAAATAACACAAATTGTAGAATATTTGGGGTTTTAAATGTATCATTTATGTAGAGAATAAAAAGAATTGGGCCCAACACTGACCCTTGGGGGACACCACAAGCAATGTCCAAACAAGATAACGTGTATTCACCCAACTTCACAAACTGTTGCCTGTTATATAGACAGCTCCTCAGCCAGTTTAATACAACCCCCCTGATACCATACCGTTCTAATTTATTAATTAATCTGTCGTGATTTATTGTATCAAATGCTTTTTTGAGATCAATAAAAACACCAGCTGCATAATTCTTTTGGTCCAGGGAATTTGTGATTTTTTCAATTAGCTCAATGACTGCTAATGAGGTGGATCTGTTGGGTCTGAATCCATATTGGCTGTCAGTTAGTAAATTGTGTTTATTGATAAATTTGTTTAGTCTGTCAGCAAAGAGTTTTCTAAGATTTTTGAAAATTGAGGAAGCAGTGAAACAGGCCTGTAGTTTGTGAAGTGGTGTTTGTCTCCAGTTTTGTACAGCGGTATGACTTTTGCAATTTTAATTTTTCTTGGGAATTTACCAGTTTTAAATGATAATTTACAGATGTGCGTTAGTGGTTTTGCAATTCCCTGAATGACCTGTTTAACTATTCTCATGTCAATGTCATTATAGTCAGTCGAAATTTCGTTTTTACATTTATGAACAATCTCTATCATTTCACTCTCTTCCACTGCTGTTAGAAACATTGATTTTGGATTAATGTCTATGAAATCATAATGCTTGTCGTCTGATCAGAATAGCAGAATAGCAGAGGACTCCGGTAAGACCAGAGGAGGAGGGCTGTGCATTTATATTAACAAAGCTTGGTGTACAGACTCTGTCATTATTGGGAGACACTGCTCAGCTAACATTGAGTTTCTCATGGTTAAATGTAGACCTTTCTATCAGCCAAGGGAGCTCAGCTCCACTATTGTAACTGCAGCCTACATCCCCCCTGATGCCGATGCTAAAGCTGCCATGAAGGAACTTTACAACGCTATCAGTAAACAACAGACTGCTCACCCGGAGGCTGCATTTATAGTTGCAGGTGATTTTAATCACTCAAACTTAAAGACAGTGCTCCCTAAATTTCACCAGCATGTTTCCTGCAATACAAGAGGAAACAAAACTCTGGACCATGTTTACACAAACATCGCAGGAGCCTACACCACGACCCCCCTCCCCCACCTGGGACAGTCAGACCATCTTTCTTTGTTCCTCATCCCCAAGTACTCCCCACTCATCCAATGTGTGAAGCCATCAGTAACAACGATTAAAGTGTGGCCAGCGGGGACAGACTCTGTACTTCAGGACAAGTTCCATCACACAGACTGGAGTATGTTTGCTTCTCAGGCTACCTTGGGCTCTCACACAGACATTGACACCTACACTTCTTCTGTGCTGGATTATATCAACACCACCATCGACAGTGTTACAACATGGAAGCAGATCACCACGTACCCAAATCAGAAGCCATGGATGAACAAGGAGGTGCGTCTCCTGCTGAAGGCCCGCAACACCGCCTTCAGATCAGATGATGCAATGGCCTACAGCGTATCCAGGGCAAACCTGAGGAGGGGCATCATCAAGGCCAAGCACTGCTACAAGCTGAAGGTAGAGGAACACTTCTCCAACTCCGACCCCAGACGCATGTGGCAGGGCATCCAGGCCATCAGTGACTATAAACCCAGAAACTCCACCCCGATAACCACAGATGTCTCCTTCCTGAACGAGCTAAATCACTTTTATGCTCGTTTCGATAGAGACAACAGAGAGACACAGACCACGACCAGACTCCTGCAGACAACCAGCCCCTCTCACTCACCTCACAGACGTCCACGCTGCACTGAGCCGGATCAACGCTCGAAAGGCTGCTGGTCCAGACGGCACCCCCGGGCGCGTGCTTAGAGCATGTGCGGAGCAGCTCACTGGGGTTTTCACGGACATCTTCAACCTGTCCCTCGCCCAAGCAGCTGTGCCAGCATGCTTCAAAGCCACCTCCATTGTCCCAGTGCCGAAACACTCCAGCCCGACAGGCCTGAACGACTACCGCCCTGTGGCACTCACACCCATCATAATGAAGTGCTTTGAGCGACTGGTCCTAGCACACCTGAAAAACTGCCTCCCACCCACACTGGACCCATTCCAGTTTGCCTACCGCAGCAATAGGAGTACAGAGGATGCAGTTCCACTGCGCTGCACTCTGTGCTCACTCA